GCTTGAGGCACAAAGGACCAGACTCAAATGATCCTACTTTGGATACATGATGTGAAGACCAAGCTCTCTGGAGAAGGCTCTAATGCTGGGGAAGGTGGAAGGAAAGAGAAGAAGAGGACAACCAGCAGCAAGGTGGATGGGGACAGATCCTCCTGGAGAAAATCTATCTGTGTAGTTGTTAAGAATCAACACTGACTTGATGGCATATAATCACTCAATAAATCAGTGTGAAGACCCAGCTCTCTGGAGAAGGCTCTAATGCTGGGAAAGGTGGAAGGAAAGAGAAGAAGAGGATGACCAGCAGCCAGGTGGAGGGACTCAGTTACAGCAGTGATGGGGCACCATTGGAAGACCTGAAGGACCAGGTTAGGGCCAGATTGTCATGGAGAAAATCTATCTGTGTAGTTGTTAAGAATCAACACTGACTTGATGGCATATAATCACTCAATAAATCAGTGTGAAGACCCAGCTCTCTGGAGAAGGCTCTAATGCTGGGAAAGGTGGAAGGAAAGAGAAGAAGAGGATGACCAGCAGCCAGGTGGAGGGACTCAGTTACAGCAGTGATGGGGCACCATTGGAAGACCTGAAGGACCAGGTTAGGGCCAGATTGTCATGGAGAAAATCTATCTATGTGATTGCTAGCAGTCAAAAACGACTTGATGGCCTACAATCAATCCAGCACAAACGAGTGAGTAATGACCATGCAGGTTATCCTAGCAGTGAGAATAGCAGACCTACCCAGACACCCAGACAGACACAACCCAAAGTAAATTAAATGCTCTGAAAACCTCCCTTTGCCACCACCATCCAATGGAGCCTCCATTGTTCTTCCCTGCCAGCCTTCTAACTGTGAAACTGCCCCCTTCCATCTTCCTTCTGCCAGGTGAGGTGCATCTGATAGTAAGGATCTCTCAAAAGATAGCAAGGTACAGTTCAGTACAGTATTTCTCAACCTTGGCCACTTGAAGATAGGTGGACTTCAATTCCCAGAATTCCCCAGCCAGCCATAGTTGGTCCACCTATCTTCAAGTGGTCAAGGTTGAGAAACACTGGTTCAGTAACTTGCTGAACATGTCTTTAGTGAGATGCTAAACACAGAGCAGAGGGGGAAAAAAGGATAACTTCTTCCTTGACACCCATAACAATCTCTTCTGTTATCTGATAATTGCTGCAGAGAGTAGCATGGAAGGAGTATCACGTGCACAGGTGTTGACATCAGGGAAAACAGGCTGGGAGAAGAATTTGGAAGTGCTGGAAACCATATGGTAGAGTTTAAGGACTTCCACTTGCAATATGTGCATTGCGTTTCCTTCCACCTGTTTTCTTTTCCTAAGAGAAAGGATCGCTGGTATCTCTCTTCCCACTTGGGTGCTTTGGGAGTTGCAATGTGCAAGGAAGGGGAACTTGTTGGACTACAACTCCCATCAGCCTCTGCAATCAGGGCTAAAATCAAAGCATGCTGGGAGTTGTAGTTCAGCAACATCAACAAGCTATCCATGACCTCATCCTTGCAGGATGAATACAGCGGCCATACATTCTTTATTATAAAGGACAGACCTTTATTTCAGAAAGCTGTCCTTTAGCTTTATTTATTTTTCAAAAACTCACTTTTGTTCTTTATTTCGGTCATTTAACTTTTACCATACAAATGGTACCCCTTAAAGCATAGTCTTTCTCATTCATGTGAAAAATATGGACATTGAACTGTCTTTTTAAAAATAAATTTACATACATTGTTTCATTTTAGACATTCATATTAGAATATGCGTTTTTGTAGAGTTTTTCTTGGTGTTGCTCTTGAATTTTCCTTTGTAAAGCAAGGTTATAAACATAAACTATGACATTCTTTTATCCTTATACACCTCTTTCAGATTTGCCCCTTTTTCAGGTTGGTCATTTTTTTTTTTCCCAAGAAAATAGGGTCACCGTAAGTGGGAATTAAGTCAAGACCACCTCTGTGCAGTGCTCTGAGAATATGGAAGAGATGCCCCACCAGAGCATCACTCTGTTCACACATGGTCCCTCATGTGGCTCTGAGAAGTCCACAGGTAGGATTTGAAGGCAATGGCACCTTCTCCTGGTGCTGTTTACAAGCAAGTGATAGATGTTGTAAAGCAGGGTTCCTCAACCTCAGCAACTTTAAGATGGACTTCAACTTTCTTCAACTTCAACTTCAAGTCCCAGAATTCCCCAGCCAGCATTCCCCAGCCAGAATTCTGGGAGTTGAAGTCCACCCATCTTAAAGTTGCTGAGGTTGAGGAGTCCTGTTGTAAAAGAATGTAGACATAACCTTGATGAAGGAGCAGGTGGACTGTTAAGGGACCTCAGATCTTCTCAGATCTTCTGTCCCATCTTATACCAAACAGAATCAAGACAGTGTGGAGTTTCTTTCTCACTTTTTCCACTTCTCCCAAGACTGAGTTCTTGTTGTTATATTTTTATCCCACTTTTAAAAAATATATATATAACTCAAGGTGGCGAACATACCTAATATATTTTTTAAAATTTATGTTATTTTCCCCTACAATAGCCTTTCAAGGTGGGTTGGGTTGAGTGGGAGCAACTGGGCAAAGCCCCCCAGGGACCTTCCATGGCTGCGGGGCAGAATCTGGGTCTCCCTATTCCTAGTCCAACTCTTGAACCACCATCTGATTTCAGTTATGATCTCAGTTCCAAACCATTTCTGATGTGCCCACAATCCATCGGGCTTTTATTATTAGGTCTCTAAACCTCCACATCGCTGTGGTTGTTTTGGTTTCCATACTCACGGAATTGGTGGGGAGGGAACATTAGTAGGATTTGAAATTGTAACCCTTAAACACGGATGTGGAAAGCAGTGATTTACTGCTGTCTATCCAACAATATGGGATGTTGGAAATGAAGAATGCAAACTGGCCATATAACTTTAGAGCAGGGTTCCTCAACCTTGGCCACTTGAAGATGTGTGGACCAACTCCCAGAATTCTGGGAGTTGAAGTCCACACATCTTCAAGTGGCCAAGGTTGAGGAACCCTGCTTTAGAGGATAAAATATAAATGCATTTATAACTGCTGTAAAGAAGATCAGAAGCTGCTTCTTTATAACTCTTTTTTCTTTACTTTTTCTTTTTCTGTCTTTTCTTATTCACTTATCGCTTTACTTTTTTTCCTTTACATTTGCATTGTTTTCACTCTGTAAAAAAGATCTTCGATCAACATTAATCAAAAACAAAAGGAAACAAAGAATGCAAACTGGAAAGGCTTCCTGCTCCAAACCCAACATCCTAACCGTGATCCTGCCCTGGTGCACCCGGTAGGAGAGGCACTCTGTCAAATATTTAAAACCTCTTTAATGGTTAATGCCTTGGAGACCATCTACAACTTCAGAGGCAGTCTATAGCAGTGGCTAAATTTATACAATGCACTACAAAAGGATGTTCAGCCTTTTGGATCCAAAGTTGAAAAGATGCTTCAGAGGGGGCATGCCCATACCATAACCATACAGATACCATACCATAACCATACAGAAGTGTTTTGCTTTTTTTCTCAGATCTTTTTCACCTTCTTTATCTTGTCTGCAGCCCTAGAATTTCCTAGTGGTTTCTCTTCATCCAAGTACCAACTAGATCTGATCCTGCTTGCTTTGGTGAGACCAACCAAGGTCAGCTAGGCAGTACAAGCCAACAATCCCAGGCTCGTGGTAGGGGAGAACAAAAACCATCCTGGGAAAAAATAATGGCCAACCACTTTTGTATCTTCTTAAAAAAAATGTAGGGATGCATCCATGTAATCAGCAGGAGCTGGGCTCACCTGAAGAGTATTTTTATCCATATGTGAACTGAGTCAATTCAGTAAACCATCATGTGCAGTTTAGGCCAATATATCAGAGAATCGTAGAGTTGGGAGGGACCTCGGAGGTCATCAAGTCCACTCCCCTGCACAGTGCAGGATTCACTACCCCCTCAGCAACAGATGACTATCCATTTCTGTAAAGGAATGTAGAGATGACCTTGGATGAACCATTAAGGTGCAGTGGTTAAGAGAGCCGGTTTCGTGTAGTGACGAAGGTGCTGGTCTAGAAACCAAGAGACTCAGTTCTAGGCCTCCCTTAGGCATGAAAGCCAGATGGGTGACTTTGGGCCAGTCACCCTCTCTCAGCCCAACCCACCTTGCACGGCTGTTGTGCAGAAAATAGGAGGCAGGGTTATTAGGTATGTTCGCCACTTTCAGTTACATATATATTTTTAAAGTGGGGAAAAATATAATAACAACAACAATAATAAATAAAATAGGAGGAAATGCTATGAGTAGTTCCCAAACAATGAGATATAAATTTAACTAATATGTTTTGTAACACTAAGCCATAAATCATGGTTTATAAATCAAAGTGACTGCATCCACACCAAACCCAAATCAAACAAGCCACATGATGGTCAGAAAGATGTGAAATATGAACCCAACCATGATTTATTCCATAAACAATAGTTAAACCAGCCACGTGTTAGTGCCGCCATGCCTTAGGGCAGTGTTTCCCTTGCTGGCTGGGGAATTCTGGGAGTTGAAGTCCACACAATCACCGCCGTTGAGAAACGCTGCCTTAGTGGAAAAGTGAGCTTAATGTTAGGGTTCCAGGCTTACCCAAAGAGTCTCTTACTATTTAATTCTGAAAATGCACACAGCACATTCAGCTACAAGCAAGCAAACCACGTTTTGGCTTTGCAAATTGCATGAATGCAGCTCCTGGTGCTCTAATCTAAATAATAATTGATAGGAATGTGTATTTTTAGTCCTATATTCCACAAGTAAGGCCTTGCATCACAAATCAATTCCGGGCAGAGCTCACAAGAGAATCTAAATGATTTTTCATTTTTTATTATTTCGCAATTATATCCAACGCTATCCGGACTCCAGCAGCGATCCTTCATCGATTGCTTACGCCTGTCCTTTTAATCCATATTTCTCCCGTTTCGGCTTGCCACTACACGCGGCCCCCGGCGGTTCGAGACTCGCGAGATCTCATGGCTTCCGTTTCCGTACCCCGAGGTTGCTAAGGGCCGCCTTGAGTTGCCAAGAGAGGCCTAGTTTAGGCCTAGTTTAGAGCGCAATGGCGCAGAGCAGGTTGGAGAAGCTGGGATCAATTTTTACCCGGTGGGTCTTTGGATTTCCCCCTCCTGCATTTTGGGTCGAGGCTTGTGAAGAGGAGCAGTCGTAAAGTTTATGCTGGGGAGCACGAAAGCGGGGAAATAAAAGCGTGGCTGCTTTGGGGCAGTTGGAAAAAAAAGCTGGAAAAATTGCGATAAATAGGCTCCTGCAAAAATATGATGTTTGGGCGGCAAAAGCTCCGGGGATCCCTGGAAGGCAGCGAAGAGTTGCGCTTCTCTTGAAGGGGGGGGGGGGGGGGGGGGGTTTGCAATCCAGAGGTGGTCGAACCTCCATGTTCAGAGGCAGTCTACTTCACGAGGTTCCTTCCCGAGGGGAAGTGCCAAGGGCTGAACCGTACTGGGTTAGCAAAGGCTGGCCAGTTACTTCTGGAGTGGGCGGCCTTAAAAAAAATTAATTAAATACATAAAATTATTAATTTTGTTAATTTGATTAATATTAATATCGATCCCTCTTTATTCATTTATTTTATTTTATTAATTTTATTATGGCTGCCCACTGCAGAAGAGACTGGGCACCCATAATAAATTTAATAAAATAAACACATAATAATTTTGTTAATCTGATTAATATGACAGTAATAAAGTTTTTTTTTCTTTTCCTCCCCATGCATATCGGCTTCCTACTCATTCCTCACAGGACACAGAACTTGCTGCGCTCTGGGGCGATGAGTGAAGCCCAGAAACCCATCTGGTATGATGTTTATGCGGCTTTCCCTCCCTTGCGGGAGCCCGTTTATCGCAATCCTCGTCCCCTGCTGGGCAAGGTGAAAGATACAGTGCCCCCCATACTGTACCCAGAGGATCAGATCAGAGCGTAAGAGTCTCCCCATCTTCTCCCTCTTTTTTCCCCTCCCCTCCCCTCCCATTTATTTACAGGTAGTCCTCACTTACTGATTGCTTGTTCAGCAACCATCAAAAGTTACGAATGGTGCTGAAAAAGGAGATTTACGACTGGTCCTCGAAGTTGCGGCTGTTGCAGCGTTCCTGTGGTCATGTGATCACAATTTGGGTGCTTGGCAACTGGCGTCCATTTATGGTGGTTGCAGTGTCCCACAGTCACGTGATTTGCAAACTTCACAGACAGCTTCCAACAAGCAAAGTCAATGGGGAAGCCAGCAGGAAGTCACAAATTGCGGTCCGTGGGTGATTTGCTAACGACTGCAGCCAGAACTGCTGTTGTAAGTCAGGCACAGTCATGTGACATTTCACTTTATGACCGCGTTGCTTAGTGATGGAGTTGCTGGTCCCTACTGCAGTCAGTAAGTGAAGGCTACCTGTATTATTGATTCCATTTATATAGCTGCACCTCTCACATATGTGACTCTAGGCAGCTTACAATAAAATAGATAAAATAGAGTAGCTGTAGCTCAGGGTTGAACTGTGGAGTTCTTGGTGGTCTCTGAGTGTGGTTGTTTGCTTGCAGACGTTTCATGACCCAACTAGGTAACATCATCAATGCCAGCAGCAGCAGCAACATCATCATCATGAAATGTCTGCAAGCAAACAACCAAGCTCAGAGACTACCAAGAACTCCGTAGATAAAATAGTACGTAATATAAAAATAAAAACACATAGTAGCTGAGCATCATAAAATGGCTATCAACAAAGCCAAGAGATGGGCTCTATTGTGCACTCCGGGGCCCAGGCTTAGGTGCCAAACTGAGTGTTCAGGGCCTTACGAAAGGCCAGGAGGGACGGGGCTAAACTAATTTCAGAGAGAATGTTGTTCCAAAGGGCAGTGCCATGGTAGAAAAAATACTTCTGAGCCCCGCCAACCAACACTCCTTAGCCAATGGCACTTGTGTCACTAGAATGAAATAAAGGCTGGCTTCAGTTCATGGAAGTCATGAGGATCAATAGCTCTTAGTCTCAATGGCCGTGGGACTGCTGTTGAAGGGTGTCTGCTGGGAGATTAGTGGACTTCTTGGTGCGGTTGTTTGGCCGCTGTGAGGACAGACTGCTAGATGAGATGGACCAGCGATCTGATCCAGCAGGGCGCGGCTTATGTTCAGTATGTCAGTGGGGCCTTGCAGACAAGAGGCCTAATTGCAAATGTTCTGAAGCCCAAGAGACAATACTACCACCATCTGTGTCTATGGTTTACTTCTTTACGCAACTTATAGAATCCTCTCCCACAAAATGTGATGTCTACGAGTTTCAGTGGCTTCTACGTAGTCAAAGAATCAGAGAAATAGGCGGCATGTAAATTTTGAGAATGCATGTGTGTGTGCATGCTAGTGCCATCCTTCATGGCCAGAGGTCATAGGCTGTTGCTATCTACTTGTGGGCTCCCACTGTGAGAACAGATTGCTGGCCTAGATGGCCGAGGGGTCTGATCCAGCAGGGTGCTGCTTATGTTCTTATGTAAGGCATGGTAGAATCAGACTGCACAAAAGTGAAGTCCTTGTTTTATTGTATACGTTTTAACTCAGATTTGTGTGTGTGTATAAATACCTCCTTTTCATGTATGTTTTATTATAAACTGCCCAGAGAGCTTTAGCTATTCAGTTTTTTAAAAATTAAAATAAATAAGGCAAGATGGCAACTGCAGCCATGTGATTGAAGAGGAAAGGCTTCAGTTGCACAGTTGTGGCTGCCATTTCGACTTTTCTGACACTTCACCCCCTGTGCAGACAGACCTAATCCCAGTGTCTTCATGTCTACTAAACCATAATGTGATGGGTGCTAGAGATGGAGCAGCTGGAAAGTCACGTATAAGGAGCCTTATTTCTCCCTCAATCTATGTTTTATTTATTTAATTTTAAAAATGGCTGTGATTTATGTGCTGCTCAATTCCAAAAAGATTCTTAGGAGTGCACACTCTAGGATAATCAGATGATCTGCTACATCAGTGGAGCTGTGCTACAGCTGTAGAAACATAGTTGGTATTATTGTAGGCAGCTAGCTTCATGGAATATATGTGTATGCTTTTTCTTTGTTGTGGAGTAAAGTTTGTCTTTTTATTTATCGTAAATTCAAGTTACTAACTTAAAGCTAGGCCAACAATTTGGTTTGGGGTCAGTATTCTGTGGCTTGTAAACCATGGTTTATTATTGATTTATCTGTTGGATTTATATATCATCTTTCCTCTAGGAGCTCAAGGCCCTGTACATTGTACTCTCTTCTCCCATTTTTCCCTACCACAGAAATCCTGGGAGTTGAGAATGGCCTGAAGTCAACCTGTAAGCTTCCATGGCTGAGGTTGGCTTGTACCTGGGTCTCCCCAGTCTTGCTCCAATACTTTAACCACTGTGCGACACTAGTTATCCTAGACAGAAGCCCCTGAATCTAGACAATTGGATCTTATTAAGCTAACCATGGTAGCTCAGGACATAAAATTGGTCTACCCTATAGCTAATCTTCTATGCAGGAGCTGTTAAAAAAATGAGGGACAGTTTTACTTTAAAGCTCCATTCTTGTTGCTTGGAAGAAGTACTGATACTTTTTCCTTTAAAAGATCTCCCAAAACATGCAAGTACAGATTTATATGCATGTTTGCCTATTTTATCTACATCTGCGTCACACAGCACTAGCCAACTGAAAAAAAAAATAATGTGCTCATTTTTTTTATTATTAGATTTTTATCCCATCTTTTAAAAATATATTTTGGTCAACTCAAGGTGGCGAAGATACCTAATATTCCTGTCTCCTATTTTCCCCCCAACAACAGTAACCTCGTGAGATGGGTTGGGCTGAGAGAGAGGGACTGGCCCAGAGTAACCCAGTTGGCTTACATGTCTAAGGGAGGCCTAGAACTTACAGTCTGCTGGTTTCTAGACCAGCACTTTCACTACTAACCAAACTGGGTCTTGTAGCACTTGTAGCTCTCTACAGAGTCATGCTCCTGGTTCACTCATCCTGCATCTTGTAATTTATTTCTGTTAGCAGTTATGTAGTGGTTAGAATTTTGAATGACAACGATGGAGATTTAGTTTCACATCCAGCTTTGGACTTGGAAGCTTACTGAGGAAGCTGGACAGTCATTAGTTCTCAATTCCATCTGTTTCATAGGTGTTATGAGTATAGTTTTTAGACCAGTATTTCTCAGCCTTAGCAACTTTAAGATACATGGACTTCAATTCCCCAAATTCCCCAGCCAGCATACTGGCTGGGGGATTCTGAGAGTTGAAGTCCACACATCTTAAAGTTGTTAAGGTTGAGAAACATTGTTTTAGACAGTCTTTTTATTCCTCTTCCAGTCCCCTGGGCTGTTAGATACAAGGCAGGATAAGCAGGTTGTAAACAACATTAGCTCTTCAGACCTAAGGCATTGCTCTTTCTCTCCCCCTTGCAGGGGGGGATGAAGTGGTGGGGATTTTATCCTGGAACCTCTTGCATACAAACTTTGTCTTTTGTTGCTAAGATGGCTTGGAGAATGCGATAGGCAACAACACATGCATTGTTTTTAAGCTGTAAGAAATCTAATTCCCCTAGTGATGTTATACATCTAATAGCAGAGAGGGACTATGAACCCTCCTTGCTTTTGCAACTTCTGAAGTTTCCCAAGATTTTCCTGCTACACTGAAGCAGCAAGTTACTAAATGACAGTGGCGAATGACGTTTCCCAAGAATTTCTGAGGGTAAAAAAATCAAATAAAGTAAATGCATTAAACCTTTGACGGGCATCTTTAAAACAACCTCTTTAAAAGAAGAAAAATGCTGAAAATCCCTTGCTCCCTTGGATAATAAGATGACATCCCTGCCCTATCGCCTGCAGGAAAAAGAATAGTTTCACCAACCCTGATCTAGGTTAAGACTTCAAGTGAATAATACAGTCTGCGAGAAGCTTGTTCCTATCTCAAGGCGGGAGAGGAAATAAAACACCATTAGAACTAAGAAGTATGTATTAGCCACCCAGAGTCACGTATTTGAGATGGGTGCCATATAAATCTACATACAAAATAAATAATACATTAACAATGTTCTTTGTCTACACGGAGATAAGTCCTAAACTGCAACTTCTTATCTAATTCATTAGGAAATTTTATGAAACTTATGGAACTGGTTCAGGTATATTTGAACTAGCAAGATCAAATTATACGTCTCTCTGCCAAAGGTAAGTGAATAAACTTTCCCCTAAGGACTTTTCTTCCAAGTTCATGGACTGGAAATTAGTATCTTCCCTCTTGAATTCCAGGTTTGTTGAAAAATACAATGAACTGAAGAAGCAGGGAGAAATGGACGAAGACCTACTATTTGCAGAAACAGGGAAAGCACTTTTGGCAGAAGGCCTTGTCTTATCAAGAAAGGGCAAAAAAGTAAGCATTACGAAGAGTTACATCCAGAAGCAAGTGCCATTTTTCAGTATCCTGTTGGAACGTACATTGTGCAGCTGTCATAAATAAATGCGGTACAGTAATTAAACCACAGATACTGTAAACAGGAGCCGAGTAGAAATGTTTTAACTTGAAAATGGAAGTTTTCTGGAAGGAATACAAAGAGTTAAATTTTGGAGATTTGGCAGAGAAGGCCTAGTGTCTGTCTAAATTGATTCATAACATAAGGTGGTATTTTCAGCCCAGCCTCATTAATCTGTATAAGGGCTAATACCAAAAGCATTATTGGATAAGAGACAGGTCCGGATTAATTATCTTCCAGAAGAAGCAAATCCTTGAATTAAAAAAAAGGGGGGGGGATACTGTCATGCTGCAGAGCAAAGCCCTAGTCTCTAGCATTGCCTTCATTTTTGAGAATGTCCTGGATCCCATAACTAGGTATGATAGAGAACATTGGGTGAGGGATGAATTAAGTAGGGTAACAGTACATTAAGTTATTCAGTGTATTATGCCCTCCATTAACAAGTACACAGAATTGGCATGCTTGTTATAGGAGCTATATGCCGAGTTTATTATTTTGAGGGCATAGTATGCAAATTTTAACGTTTGTTCATTTTTAGCCCACCTTTCCATAAAAGTGGCAGTTGGTGCCTTGTCTCTAATCTTGAATTGCTGGTGCAACCTTTTTGTATGGCATTTGCCTCTCCCAACCATATCTTTCCATTCAAGTCTAGGTGTAGCAGGTTCTGGGAAAAGCTGCTATGCTATTTCCAATTGTTTGTCAGTCAGAGAGTCTTCATTTGTTCCTGTGACTCAAATACTCCCCTCTTCCCAAAACAGCTCCGTCCCCAAAAGGTATGAGACCAGTGTTTCTCAATCTTGGCAGCTTTAAGATGTGTGGACTTCAACTCCCAGAATTCCCCAGCTGCCAAGGC